CGGGCCTCTAGTAAATAAATAAATAAATAAATAAAAATAAAAAAGAATGAATTTTTTAAAAAAAGAACAACTGCAAAATGATTTTTATTAGATATCTGAGCAGGTACAAAACAGGGAAGGGCATATATCACAATCTTAGGTTCTATTTTCCAGCTGTTTTAAACCTACTGATATTGTTCCTAGAAGCATAATATACACTAAACCTCAAGAAAAGATAACAGGTTTTTCTCATATTGAAAAAAAAGTATTAGACCACCTGCACCCTGTAAAAATATAAAATATTACTATATCAGTCAGAGTAGCAGCAAGAAACAGATGGCACAGCAAAAGGGGCAACTGAAGGGAGTATGATCAGAATGTGGGTAGGAAAACAGCAAGAGACGATGCCGTACCACTGCCAACCTGGTGCCAACATGGAGAGAGAAGGGGTAATAAATACTTTATCTCCTACTGCCTTCTGATCTCCTGCTGGCACCCTCCATCAGCTGAGTTCAACCAGAAGCCAGAGAGGAAGGGAATTGCTGCTGTAATCCATAAAGGGTGAAGTAGATACACAGGGGTAACAGAGAATATCTAGCATGGTGACATTAAAGTGCAAGCAATTCTACAATTTTACTGTAAATATTTTCAAATTTAAAGATTCTACTAGAAGAGTACTAAAAACACAAAGTTTTAGATAGCCATCTTTGGTACTATGCAATGTATGGATAAAATATTCATTATATAGTATTTTTATAGTAGCAGAGACTTGGAAATAATCTAATTGCCACCCATAATTAAGTAAATTATTAGATTCCTACACAAGGGAATACTATGCAACTGTTGAAAACAATACAGATCATTACTTATGGATATGAAAAGATGGCCATACTTTTTAAGTGTACTATTCATTCAGTAATATTCATTAAGCAGTTAGTATGTGCGAGGCATTGTGCTAGGTGCTGGAGAAACAAAAGAGAACAATCTGTCAATTTAAATCTGTTATTTTAATCCACTAAATTAACAGTGATTTTAAAAAATGACAACTAATATTGTTGAATTTAAGGAGGAGGACATTCATATACTATTGTTCAGAGTAAATTGGTAAAACATTTCTGGAGGGCAATGAGCACTTTTTATCAAAAGCCTTAGAAATATCCATTTCATTTAACTCTGCAATTCCATTTTTATGAATTTATTCTAAAGATTCTAAAGAAGGGAACAGAGATGTACACGAAAAAATGTACCAAACAGCTCATAAATAAATTGCTTGGGAGGAGGGGTACTTAAATATTAAACAATAGGGACTTCGGTAAATAAAATATATGGACATAAGGAGGAATACTAGGAGGCTGTGTTTAACCTGGAAATTGTTTAACATGGAAAAATGTCCAAAATATATAAGTGAAAGTGTTTAAAAAGAGTGATACTCAATTGTCCCAAACTTGACTCAATCACTGAGTGTTACTTCACCTTCAAAGCTCACATCCTTAAGGATCCTTTCCTTTTTTAAAATATGTTTTTGTTGATTTCAGAGAGGAAGGGAGAGAGAGCTAGAAACATCAATGATGAGAGAGAATCACGGATCAGCTGCCTCCTGCACGCCCCACGCTGGGGATCTACTGGGGATCGAACCATGACCTCAGGGAATCGAACCATGACCTCAGGGAATCGAACCATGGCCCCTGGGAACCGAACCATGACCTCCGGGAATCGAACCATGACCTCCGGGAATTGAACCATGACCTCCTGGTTCATAGGCGGATACTCAACCACTGAGCCACACCGGCCAGCCTCCTGAGGGATCCTTTCCACTCTTACCTGAGCCTAGGAACTCATCCTTTCTTCATTATAAAGAAAATAAGTCATCGTCGGCCGTCGGTAGACGTTAGGTTGGCAACTGCAGTGTCCTCAACTATTTAATCTTAGGGACTTACTAATGCTCTCAAAGAGAAAATACATATTTCGGAAGAGTGTCCATTTTTTTTTTTTTCTCAGTGACCTAATCTATCAGGAACTGCGCTTGGTTTAGGGGGGGCGGATAACAGAAAGACATTAATGCCCTCAAAAAGTTCAGTCTGGTGGGAGGAAACCAACAATAATGACGAAGAAGGACCAATGACAACAGGCCCTGGAAGATGAGTTCTCCTTTTGGATTCCAAAGCGGAAAGAAAAGCATGTACACAGACAACATGCTCCAGCCAGAGCGAACCATGACCTCCTGGTTCATAGGCGGATACTCAACCACTGAGCCACACCGGCCAGCCTCCTGAGGGATCCTTTCCACTCTTACCTGAGCCTAGGAACTCATCCTTTCTTCATTATAAAGAAAATAAGTCATCGTCGGCCGTCGGTAGACGTTAGGTTGGCAACTGCAGTGTCCTCAACTATTTAATCTTAGGGACTTACTAATGCTCTCAAAGAGAAAATACATATTTCGGAAGAGAGTGTCCTTTTTTTTTTTTTCTCAGTGACCTAATCTATCAGGAACTGCGCTTGGTTTAGGGGGGGCGGGTAACAGAAAGACATTAATGCCCTCAAAAAGTTCAGTCTGGTGGGAGGAAACCAACAATAATGACGAAGAAGGACCAATGACAACAGGCCCTGGAAGATGAGTTCTCCTTTTGGATTCCAAAGCGGAAAGAAAAGCATGTACACAGACAACATGCTCCAGCCAGAGTGTTATGGTTGACCCAGAAGATGGCCCGCTATGTCGTGCCTTTCTCGCGGCAGCCTCGTTCTTCGCCCGGTCACACCACACACCCAATCTCGGTGGAAGGTACACGAGAGGCTGAGCCGCGCACTGGATCACCCGAGTCGCAGCGGTCTTCTCGAGCACTTCGGGGGCATCCGGCCGGGCCAGTGAGAAACTGGAGGAGATGTGTCTGCAACACACAGGTCAGTCGCGAGGATGCAAGAAGCGTAACTTGGTGCTGGCCGCCCAGCAGCTCTTCGGCGCCGGGGACATCCTGGCCCGGGATTTCCCGCCAATCTCAGTGCCACCTTCTCCGAGGCCCCGCCCACCTCCGAACGTCAGAGCTCGGAGGGCGGGGAAGCGTTGGGCGCCTATCGATCGATGTCTCTGGGATAGAATGCTCTGCCCTGCGCCTCTGCCGTCGAAGTGACGTAGACTTCCCTGTCGATCGCCGAGCGGTAGTTTCGGCAGCGCTCCGTGATCCGCAGCTTTGCAGGAGGAGCCGCCAGCCAGGGCCGCGTCGGAACCATGGTGCGTTGGGTTCCAAGCCCAGGCAGGGTTGGGGCAGAGGTCCGCTAACTGGCCGGTGGCGAGCCGCGTCTCTAGTCAGTCCTTAGAGCGGCTGGGGGCCACGGGGCACGGAAACCAGAGCCGGCGTGAGGGTTCGGGCAGTGATTCAGCATCTCCGGCCCGGCCGGGGGAGAGAGGGGCGGTCGGGAGTCGGTGCGGCCTTTATCCGGGTTTGGTTTCACTTTCTCCCGGGCCTCAGACACTACTTCCTCCGTGAACTAGCCTCGTTCGCCCTTCAAGTTCTTTCAGTGGAGCAGATGCTGAGCGGTACTGAATGGTCCCTCGTGCTCTGCGCGGGGGGGAAAGGGAGGGGAAAATAGGGACTTGAGTTGGAGGCCTCTCGGTACTGCCATTGCGGACTTGACCCCAGGGTTTGGGGTTCCGGTACCGCGTGCATTTTCCTGCTGTGCCCATCTAATTGCCGTCTCCCCTAGAACTCCATGAGAGAAGGCCATTTTCAGCCACATTGTCCAGTCACCTCGTTTTACATCTAGATGAGTAAACCGAGGCTGAGAGGAGGTGTGATGTTATCAGGATTACAACATAGGTCTCAGGGCTTCCAGGACTCAACCTGTTCACCCCCGTGATAATTCTCCCAAGGACTGCTCTGGTAGACTTGTTTAAAAAAAAAAGTCATTAAAGCGGTAATGGTTCTGTCGCTGTCGCTATTTGCGTCCACTTCTGCCTTCCTGAGGACATTTTTGTGTTTATTCCTTCAATAGGAAGGTCTGTACCTACAAGGCACTATTTTAAGTATGGTGAGCATTCCAAGATAAAATAGACATGTCCCCAAATCATCATATAAGGAAGAAAGGACGCGAGGTAAAGAACTGGTGGGAGTATGTGCTGGGGGAAAGCTGGAAGAAAAGGTGGAGAAACTTCAAGAGAGAGACATTTGAGCTAGATTTTCAAAAAGGAATGCTTTTGATTATTTATTGAAGGCTGGTATAAGGGAAGAACATAAGCAAAGATATGAAGGAGAGTTGACACACATGAACTTACGGAATTGACGGAACCCAAAAGGAATCCTGTGTATGGTCTTTGGTAGGATTGGAAGTTGGGAAGAAAGGCCCCACCCAGATCTGCTTCCACCCTCACCCACTAGCTCATGGTGTATGTCGAACTGGCTTGCAACTAAGTACATACAGTAGTGACCTTACAGTAAGATTGTATTAACAGCATTGTATTAATGTTGAATGGGAACAGATGGGAAAACTTTTTTAAAAGTTGTTTTTATTGATTTCAGAGATTAAGAGAGAGAGAGAGAGAGAAAGGGAGAGAGAGAGAGACATCGATGTAGAGAGAGAATCATTGACCAGCTGCCTCCTGCATGCCCCACACTGGGGATTGAACTTGCACTCTGGGCATGTGCCTGACTGGCAATCAAACCGTGACTTTCTGGTTCATAGGTCAACGCTCAACCACTGAGCCACACCAGCTGGGCAGGAAAACATTTTTTTTTTTTAAATAATAGAGCTAGTTAAGAGTTGGGATGTGTAATGTTCTTATATTAATAGGTCTATTTTCTTTTACTTTCAGTTTCGCAACCAGTATGACAATGATGTCACTGTTTGGAGCCCTCAGGTAAATGTTTCATACAATTTCTGTGAAGTGGCTTTTGGTGGCTGCAGTATGTTTAGAAACTCATGAGATTGTAGGCTGTGAGAAAATGGGATAGAATCACTTTGGACAGTCCTGGGCCCTAAATTTATCATTAAAGTAAGTTGTCTGGTTTAAAAACAATCATTTGAGATTTAACTGTGCTCACCTGAGATTTGGGAACTCTTTAAATTTACAAGAGGGTCTTGTAAGATGACTCTAAGATACCTTGTTATTTTTTTTTTTTTAGGGCAGGATTCATCAAATTGAATATGCCATGGAAGCTGTCAAACAAGGTTCAGCCACAGTTGGTCTGAAATCAAAAACCCATGCAGTACTGGTTGCATTGAAGGTAAGTAAGTAAAGCAATAAGTGTATCTTCCTCGTTTAGAAAACAACTATCAAGCGTAAGTTTCACTGTATAGATGATAAAATTTTAAACTTGTTTGTATGTCTTATAATGTCTGTTTTTAGAGAGCACAGTCAGAGCTTGCAGCTCATCAGAAAAAAATTCTCCATGTCGACAACCATATTGGTATTTCAATTGCGGGACTGACTGCTGATGCTAGACTGCTATGGTGAGTATGATCATGAAAAACAAGCAACATCCCTTTTGACTTATCATTGATTTCATTTCTAGAGAAGAACCAGTTAAGATATGTTAGAGAGTTCTCTACCAGAGTATTTATAAGTTAAAATTGTGAACACTTTAGTGGATTTGGGCTCAATTATTAAGTATTCCATTTCTTGATTCTTATAATAATAACAAATAGAATTAAGCATATTAGCACATTTGAGAAATCCCTGAATAATGTGAAATTAGTAACTCAGTGTATATTGTTTGAGATGATGTTTTGTCTAAGAAGAGCTTGACAACTTTTTTCTGATTTCTGAGAAACAGCTGAACTACCCTTGCTTTCTTTCATACACCAGAATTTATTTTTTGAAAAACTTAATTCTGGATACTGCATAGTATACACAGGTGATTCAGATATAGATCTTGTAACTAGGAAATGCAAATCTAGTAATATATCTATAATAAAAGGTAGAACGTGAAGAGTAATATATAGATGTTTGTGGGAGTCCAAAGGAAATGAAGATTATTTCTAGTTGAAAGGCATTTTGTAAATGAAGAGCTAAGGCTTTGAAATCACATAGAATGAGTTTACTTCCTGCCTCTGCACTTAGTATCTGAGATTGGATTAGTTGCTTAAACTCTCAATTTTTTTAGTATTATTTTTTTTCAAGGTTATTATTAAGTAGCCTAATATGTAGAGCACTTAACAGTACCTTCAGGTAATATGTGAGTGTGTGTATTGGGATATGGGAGGTAATAAACCAAAACTAATATGTTTAAGTCTGTGACTTAAATAGGGAAGAAAGAATATAACCACTAAGGGGAAATTAATGCTAATGTTTTAAGATTTTTAAGTTATCCAGCGAACTCCTGTTCTCTTAAATCAGTAGTATAGTGACAACATTGATTTCTGGCAGTTCTTGAAAATGTAAAATATATTGCACTGTCAAACATTTTATTTAACCCAATCTATCTAAAATGCCTTGTCAACATGTAATCAATACAAAAACTACTGAGATATTTTACATTGTTTTTTTATACTAAATTTCTTTGACATTGCATGTGTATTTGGTATTTATGATACATTTTAATTTAGACCACCCACTTCTTAAGTGCTCAGTAGTCACATGTGATTAGTACATGCAATATTGGGGCAATGCAGTCTGAGATAGCCTTGGGAAGTGGACTTAAATAAAGTACTGAGCAAAGAGCTTGGTTCCTACAGTCAGCATTTAATCATCAGATGTGACTTGCACACAAATTGAACAAAGCAACACAGAAAGAAAGGCGGATATCTGTTGTTTATCCTCTTGCCTTTAATAGTTAAGCATGAATTCCCTTTTCCCCAATGTCAGACTTGCTTGAATCTTGCCAGGTTTAGTAGTGAGATTCAATAGTCAGGAACAAGTAACAATGTCTTAGTATGGATTCTATTTCTTGCAATTGCTGTCTTGCGGAAATTTTAGTTTTCAAGAAAAAACAGAGTAAACTTGTTCCTGGCTAAAGACAGAATTCAAGATAATCTTTTTGACAGTGGTAAGGATAAGAGAAGAGAGAATGTTCTTTTTCTCTCACTCAGCCTTCTTGCTGTTCTATAAAGTGCCCTGAAACAAAGGTTTTCTAAAGGAATATTTTAGTTCTGAGGGTTTTTTTTGTTTTTGTTGAAACTTCATGTACTCCCCTACCCCCAGAGTTTGATATAAAAACGCATCCTTCCATGTCTTTCTGGTTCCCTTATATGAATGTAATCCATGTAAGTGTCTGGAAGAGAGCAAAATGAAATCAAACTACTTAATTTAGATTTGAATAACTCTGTGATTTGAAATTACTAATTTTTCTTGTTTCTTTTTTAGTAATTTTATGCGCCAGGAGTGTTTGGATTCCAGATTTGTATTTGACAGCCTCTTCCTCTGTCTCGTCTTGTATCTCTAATTGGAAGCAGTATCCTTTTTATGTTAGCATTTTGGACATGAACTTTAAAGAATTTTGATACTTAATCCTTTGTGTAAGTTATTAGAAATATTGTAATATATAACATAGGTAAGATTGCGGGAAAAAGTTAGTTGCTTTTCAATAACAGAATATTTAAAATTTAGAAAGAATTATGGGAACTTTTACTATGGAAGAATGGGTTCTAAAATATGGAATTGGTTTGCTCTATCATTAGCCCTTATAAGTAATTGATATTTTGCAGACATAAATAAGTTCAATTTCAGTAAAACTAACCAAGAGGAGATTTAAACTTTTTTTTTTGGTTCTAGATGTCCTAAAAATATTCTTGACTGCTTATATCCAAAACAAATGGAAATTCTCTTTATGAGAAGAAAACATTTTGTGAATAGTTGAACATTTTTTGGTGGATAGTTGAACATTTTTTTAATAATAGGCCAAAGAAATATTGCTCTGTTTTATTTTCTTCTTCCTATGGTAGATTATGCAGAAATTTAAAAAAATCAAAGTTCTTTGTTAATTTTAATTTGAAAAGATAGTATTTTATTTCTTGTTAGAACAGGCTCTTTAACTAGTTTAAGAGACCCAGATACCAACACAAAGATATGGCCGAAGACCATATGGTGTTGGACTGCTTATTGCTGGTTATGATGTAAGTTCACAGAATATTTTTTACATTTTAATGATTTTTTAAAAACTGACTAGAAATTTTCTAATTTTTAGCTCAATCAAAATCAAGAATTACGTGGTTTTTCCCCCCTCCTATTTGTAGGATATGGGCCCTCATATTTTCCAAACCTGTCCATCAGCTAACTATTTTGACTGCAGAGCTATGTCCATTGGAGCCCGTTCTCAATCAGCTCGTACTTACTTGGAGAGACATATGTCTGAGTTTATGGAGTGTAAGTGATTTTTATTTGCCCCCTCCAGTCTTTATATAGTGAATTAACACAGCATCCTAAATGAAGAAAACTACCAATCTTACAGTAAGAATTTTTTAAAAAATTAAGCCTGTGAAGTATTTATTATTTCTGTTACATATGCTAGTTGTTAGCCCTTCTAACTAACACAGTAGTTACATTCACTAATAGGACTTTTTCAACTACAAATATGTGTCCCCAACCTTGAAGAATCTTGATTCAGTTGTTCTGAAGTGTGCCCCAAACAGTTGAGAAACACTGTTTGCAACTGTTACTTTTCTATTTCTCTGTTCTTACTTTTAGCCACACTGACATTTCTGCATAAACAAGTAAAAACTCAGTGTAGCTGTAGGAAAAAAAGGTAAAAGATGTGAGATGGTCCTAGCTGGTTTGGCTCAGTGGGTAGAGTGTCGACTGTGGACTGAAGGGTTCTGGGTTCGATTCCACTCAAGGGCACATGCCCGGATTGCGGGCTTGATCCCCATGCAGGAGACAGCTGGTCAATGATTCTCTCTCATCATTGATGTTTCTATCTCTCCCTCACCCTTCCTCTCTGAATCAATAAAAAAATATTTTTAAGAAATGTGAGATGATAGGGCAGGTTTCCAAGTGCTTTGCTTATGCAAAGGTCTTAAATTTTAACACAAGCTTTTTAAATCATTTATTGAGGTGATCATGTGGGTTGTTCCCCTTTCTATTGTGGTATATTGCATTAATTGACTTTGAATGTTCAACCATCTTTGCATTTCTGGGAGAAATCCCTTTTGGTCATAGTGTATGATATAAACTATATGTATAAGTGCTTATATAAACATATAAATATTGCTAGATTCAGTTTGCTGTGTTTTGTTGAGGTTTTTTGTGTGTCTATATTCATAAGTCAAATCGACCTATAGTTTTATTCTCTTGTGATGTCTCTGTCTAGTTTTGCTACAAGCCTTTGAGCTTTATCATTTGTGAATCAGGATTTTGATTTAACTCAGCATAAGGAAAAGTCAAATTCAGTAAAAAACCATATGTCCTCATTAAATAAAACAATAATCAGCAATGTTATCATTTCTAGAAGATTATAGGGCTAAACATTAAACTTTTGGCTGTTTTTATTGTGATATATTTAATGTGACTAAAACCATGGTTTCAATGTATAGATCTAACTAATAAAAGAAGGCTAGCATGAAGACGGAATTAAGAAATAATTGTTAATTTATTATATATAGGCAATTTGAATGAACTGGTTAAGCATGGTCTGCGTGCTTTAAGAGAGACACTTCCTGCAGAACAAGATCTAACTACAAAGGTAAATACCATGTTTTCCAATTGTAGATATTAACATTACAGTTTAATCATTAATTGCATAAATTTAAGTAATAGAGGAGTGTATGCTTACAGATCTTTAATTTGGGAGATGGTTGCCTTGGCTCATTCTTTTTTTTAAGCTGTTCATTTAGTGATCTGATTTTGAAATTCCTTTTGAACTTTTTTTGTTTTTGTATAAAGCCAATAGGTCTGATGTAGAATGTTCTTTATTCCTTCAGCAGATAGGAGTATCTTTATATTATTAATTTAGTTGACAAATAAATGTATTAAGCACATCCCACATGCAGGCACTAAACATTGAAAATATAGTAAACACTAGAGGCCTGGCACACGAAATTTGGGCGCGGATACGGTCCCTAGGCCTGGCCTGCGATCAGGGCCATCTTCTCTGGCTGCCGGCAGCCAGCCCCGCCGCCACCCACCCCCACTTCCCCGTTCACCATTGAGCGATCGGAGCCTGCAGGTATTTAAAAAACAAAAAATAAAAAAAGAAACTGGAACTTGAGGAAAAGATCTAAAGAAAGTGAGTGAGTGAGCCATACAGATGACTAGAGCAAGATTATTCCAGGGAATGCAAGTGCAAGGAAGGGCCTTGGGTCCAGAATGTTTCTAGTTTTCAAGACAAGGAGGCTGGTAGTGTTGGAGTTAGTGATCAAGAAGTGAAGAAAGGAAGTCAGAGAGGTAATGGATTGAGTATGTCCTATGATAAGCACTTTGGATTTTACTATGAGTGGGCTGTTAGAGTTTGAACAGAGGAATACCATGATTTGATTTAGGTTTTAAAAGACTCTGGCTGCTATTTTGAGAACAGATTCTAGTGGGAGCATGGGTGGGAATAGTTTTAAGACTTACAGTCATTCAGGTGAGAGATTGTTGCAGATTAGGCAGAGTCATAGAGTTTGAGATGACAAGAAGGGGTTCAATTTTGGGTATGTTTTGAAATTAGAGCTAAAAAGTTTGCTAACGATTTGGTTGTGAGGGTGAGATGGGGGTGCTGGGGAGGAGAGAGATGTCTTAAAAGTTTGGGCCTGGTAAAAGAAAGATATTTATGATTTACTGATATGGATAAAAAAGGGGAAGAAATAGGTTTTTGGGTAGAGGTTGTGGAGGAAAATCAGGAAGTTAGTTTAGGACATATAAAATTGTTTGCCCATTTGGCTATACAGAGTAAGCAGTTATCAGATGAGCACCCCCGGGATTTTGGTAGAGAATGTTTAGCCTGGAGTTACAAATCTTAAGAGTCTTTATGTAGAAACTAGATGCCCGATGCAAGAGTAGGCCTTCTTTCCCTGGCCTGTACCGGCTTCCCTCTAGCACCCAGGACCTGGGCTTCCCTCCGGCCGCAAGCAGGCATCCAGGACCCTGACTCCTCCTAGCCCCGGCTTCGTCCAGAAGGTCGTCTGGAAGGACACCCAGTCTAATTAGCGTATTATGCTTTTATTTTTATAGATGGCTTATAGAGACTGGACTGGATGTGATTGCTAAAGGAATTGAATAGTTAGACAGGAGGTTTGAAGACTGGGCCAAGGGCACTCTAACCTTTAGAGATTGAGAAGTGAATAGGTATTAGCAAAAAGGTCTGAAAAAGATGGCCAGGGAGGTAGGAGGGAAACTTGGAAAAAGAGGCATCCTTAAAAGCAAATGAAGAAACTATTTTAAGGAGGAGGAAATGAAAAATTGCTAATCAAGGAAGATGTGGATTGAGAATTAATCATTAGATTAGCAGTTATGTCTCTGGGAACTTGAGTAGACAATCTTAATGGAATGGTGGGGCAAAATCCTGACAGGAATGGAATCAGGAGAGAATGGGAGAAGAGGAATTGATGCACAGCTCTTTGAAGGATATGAGAAATGGGGTGGTGGCTAAAAGAGAAAAAAAGGAGTTTGGTTATTTTGTATTTTTTTGAACATGTTTTTATTTATTTTTTTTTTAAGAGAGGGAGATAGAAACAGAGCGAGATAGAAAGAGAAATCATTGATCGGTTACCTCTTGCACGCCCCCTACTGGGGATCAAGCCCACAACCCCAGGCATGTGCCCTGGCCTGGAATCAACCAGCGACCTCTTGGTGCATGGGATGATGCTCAACCAAATGAGCCATAGTGGCCAGGCTATTTTGGTTTTTTAGATGAGAGAAATTATAGCATGTCTGCTGCATGAGAATAATTCAGTATAAAGGGAACCATATATGTATGAGAAATATGAGAAAAACTGCTAGACCAATTTCTTTGTGAACAGTACACAGGTGGAAAGTTAGGTCTTAGAGAAGAAATTGGATGATTCAGTAACAGAAAGGGAGAGAATGTAGAGACACAGATACAGGAAAGAGTGGATTCTGTGGGAGCTTGTGAATGTTCTCTTTAATTTGCTTTTATTTTCTCGGTGAAATAGCAAGGTTTTCATCTGTAAGGAGAATGGGGAATGGTAGAGTTATCCAAGAGAATGGGAGATTGGATGATCTAGGGACCTGTACAGCACAATGCAGGAACCATTAAAGGCCTCCTTGAAGTTAATGATTATTTATTAAAGTGAGATCAGTCAGAATATTATAAATCCATTTTGTTATAGTGGTTAGATAACTATTTAGTATGTATGTGAAAACTTTATAGCCTGCATAATCTTTTCTAAAATAAATTTTCCTGTTATAAAAATAATATTCTTTTTAAAAAAAATTAGGATCCATGGCCAGTGTGGCTCGGTTGGAGCATCATCCCATGCCCTGGAAGGTCCCGGGTTTGATTCCTGTTCAGGGCACATACCTAGGTTGCAGGTTCAATCTTGGTCAGCTTGCGTGCGTGCGAGAGGCGGGCCAATCTATGTATCTCTCACATTGATGTTTTTCTCCCTCTCCCTCTCCCTCTCCTCCCCTTTCCTCCCTCTAAAAATCTAAAAATAAAAAAAAATTAGGAACGTACATTAAATTTTAAAAATGTGTTTAAAATGTCTATAATGCCATCACTCCAAGGTAACTATCTTTTAAAAGTTGGGTATGGACTGTGGACATTTACAGTTTGGAAACTTTAGCTCAGGTATCTGGCTTTCTGATTTCATAGTTTTACTGAATCATAGAAAATGGCCTTTATATCCGTATGCCTGCAATTTTCACTAAAATTTTAATTTACAGGAGCTATTTTGCAGTGGTTGGCATTCACTGAACATTTTAAGCATTGCTCTTTAATTTTTCCATGTAAAAAATAGTTGCAAGCCCCCACTATATTCAGCTCTTTAGACCCCAAAACTTACTGTTTCCTTGGTAAGAACCATCATCTCTTAACTTATATGAGTGATAAATTTGATTATTTCTTAGGAGTTAGGCTTACTTCCTAGCTAAGTGGTTTGCTCCCTCACACTTGTCTACAGCACATTTCCATTATGAGCCAATGTGCAAATTTTCTAGATGACATAGACCTTTGGGGTTATTCATGATTATCAAAAGTGAGTATTTAAATTGCAAATTACAAGAGCTTACTAGTTAAGTGTTATTCAAGTGCTATATACATTTTTATTCTGCCCCCCCCCCCACATTTAACATAAGCATTTTTCAACCTAAATTTTCTTGATTTTTAAATTTTTACCTTTTCCCCTTCTCAGAATGTTTCCATTGGAATTGTTGGTAAAGACTTGGAGTTTACGATTTATGATGATGATGATGTGTCTCCATTCCTGGAAGGCCTTGAAGAAAGGCCACAGAGAAAGGCACAGGTATATAACTAGTCATAACACAAGAGGCTTTGTTCTATAGTAAACTGTTCCTTCTACAACTGTGTAAATCTACCATTTTTGTCTTTAATTATTGAGATAAGCTCATAATTCAAATGGCAATAGCAAAACTAAGCTGAGTAAAGTAAAATACTGAGGGGGGAGTGGTCTCCATAAACACAAAAAGGGTTGATTAGTTATATATTTTATATTTCTCACAATTCTGTGGGTTGATTGGGACTCAGCTAGATGGTTCTTTTGCTGGTCTCACTTGGGTCTCTAAAACATTGCAGTCAGTCCAAGATGGTTTTACTCACATGTCTTTACTCACACTTTTTAGGTATCTTACAGAGACAATTAGAAGGCTGGGCCCTCTGTTGGAATGGCTGGGCCTCTGTCCATGTAGTCTTGGGGGTCTTTCTTTCTCAAGGGTCTCTTCAGCAGGGTGGCAGCTCAGAGTTTACAAAAGTTCAAAACATTCTTGAGGCTGAGGCCCAGGACTGGCACAGCATCACTTCAGCACATCTTGTTGACTAAAGCAAGTCATAGGGCCAGCCAGGAGTCTATAGTAGTGGGAACAGAGAAAATTAACTGGGGACCAGCTTTAGAAGCGAAGTTAGCTCTTCACAAATACTGAGAAAGGATCAAGACGTGTTGGTGAATCTCATTACATGTTGGTCTTTTATATTGGATATTTAGAATGCCCATTTGCTATTTATATATGCTTATTTGCTATTGAAAATAAAGTGTCCTGTTCAGAAATTTCTTCTACAGCATTAGTTTCTTTTCAATTTGAAAAGGGTATTGTTGGTATTTGGAGAAGCAAGATTTGCATTATTGAAACTGCTGTTGGAAGGCTTTTTATTCTTGAGCAAGATATAAAGTATGATAAAATGCTAGAATTGTTCAATGATGCTCAAGTTTTCAGAACTGTAACACTATATCTATTTAAAAAACAACAACCTTTGTTTAGAAATTTCAACAGGGCAATGAACTAAAACTTGAGTATTGAAAATATACCTAACCCCTTTTTCTCATAGATTTCTTTATAATGTAATATTGCATATTTTCTTTTTTCTTCCTCTCTTAAGCCTGCTCAACCTGCTGATGAACCTGCAGAAAAGGCTAATAAACCAATGGAGCATTAAGTGATAATCCCCCAGTCCATATGTGTATTAGCAAATGCGTAAGAATGCAGGAACATGTACTGATGACAATATTCTATACTTTGAACCAAATGGTATGTTTTAGGAATCAGTCCAGATGTGAGGTTTCAAATTGCAAGCAGCTTCACTGAAACCATATAATGGGATGCATTTTTTTTTTTTTTTTGGAGAGGGTCTATATAATCATTTTCTAGAAAGTACAGTTGCCTTTACTAATGTTTTTATATGAAGAACTCATTGTCTTTCTGGTTTTAAATACAACTGTGAAATAAAATTGTTTCATCGGCTGGTATATTGGTGTTTTGTTTGTTTTTTAAATAGTTTCAACTATATAAATAGTAGTCTGAGATTACATCTAGTCAGTTGCCATGTTTGTAAAATAAATTGCCTTATTTTTAGTGGTGGGGGAAAATAATACCTATTATCTATCACAGCCTTAAACCAATTTCCCAGTGTATGGACTGGCTGTATGAAAATTCATGGAGATTTGATTTAGAATATTCACAGGTAAATGGTGTGGTGTTTTTTCCAACCAGCAGATGGCAGTAGTGATAGCTCTGGTCTCATGTAGGGAATTTTTTGCAAAAATAGCAAAAGGGAAATTTTAATCTGAATCCTTCATTTCTGCTTATTCCTCCCCAACCACATTCTGGCATAATCTTTAATCTGCCTTCCATTATCCTTTGAGCTATGTAGCAAGATACAGTACTGCAGAACAGTTTTTATCTTTTAAGATTCATATCTTTCTGGAGGGAACTTGGACTTTAGACCTAATTTTACTAGTTAGCTGCTATTGGCTTTGGACAAGTTATTTAGCCCTAATTAAGAAAATACTTTGGCCCTGAGCAGTTTTTCTCAGTGGTTAGAGTGTTGGCCCACAGACCAAAGGGTCACAGGTTCCATTCCTGGTCTAGGATGCATACCTTGGTTGCAGTTCGATTCCCAGCCGAGAAGCAACCAATTGATGTATCTCTCTCACATCGATGTTTCTCTCTCCTTCCCCTCTGCCCTCCCTTCTGCTCTCTCTAAAAATCAATGGAAAAATTATCGAATTCCTGATCATCAAACTTAATATTATCTAGGTCTGGGATATTATAACAAGATTTTTGGTAAAGGATTGGTAGTATTTATTCATTTTGCTGTTCATATTTTCAACAATTGTATATTTACTCTCAATAGTATTCTCTAGGCTGCCAACTTTTTTCTTTGTTTTTTATATTTTTATTAATTTCAGAGAGGGAGGGAGAGGGAGAGGGAGAAACATCAATGACTAGAGGCCTGGTGCACGAAATTTGTGTACAAGTGCGGTCCCTAGGCCTGGCCGGCGATCGAAGCACGAATGTCTAGCGTGGAAGAGCAGGTCCCAGTTAACCTCTGGGCCCTGAGCAGCACCTGAGCCTCCAGGTTCCCACGCCTCCCCTCCACCTGAGTCACGGTGCCCGAATCCCCACACAGAGATGCGGTGAGCGCAGCTGGACGCCACAGGCCAGGGCGCAATGTGGGCCTCTGGTCTGCCCAGCGGTGCTGCACGGAAGCCGGGTGGGCAGCGTGCTCTGTCCTGGCCGGCCTTGCAGACCAGCTCTTGCGCAAACCCACAGGGAGCCCCACCGGCCTCTGTAGTCCCAGCGGCTGCGGCCCGGCTCACCTGGAAGAGGCCACACAGGTGCAGGGCAGGCTCCTTGTGGGCACCCAGCACCTGAGCGCAGGGGCTTCCATGGCACGCAAGCCCTGGCGTCCCAGGGGAGGTTAACGGGGAGTGAGAGCGAGCTTGGCGGATACCCCACATTCTCACTGCACCTCCGTCCCCATCACCCCCACCCCCAGGTAGCCGGTGAAAGATCGCATACCCTGCCGCCCCTGCTGGTCGCCATCTGTGAGGCAATTGGTCCCCCGCTCGCACCGCCTTGGCCTGGTGCCGCCTGCTCACCTGCTCCTCCATCCCACTGTGGTCCCGCTCTTGTCAGGGCTTATCGGGGCCAGCAGCACCTCTGCTGCCGCCTGCTGCCAATGCCACATCACCGATGCCCGCCATGTTCCACACTGCCCCCTGGTGGTCAGCGCATATCATAGCGAGCGGCCGAACTCCCAGTCGAACAATTTGCATATTAGGCTTTTATTATATAAGTTATTATATAGGATGAGAAAGAATCATTGACAGGTTGCCTCCTGCCCACCCCCTATTGGGAATCTAGCCTGCAACCCAGGCATGTGCTCTTGACTGAAATTGAACCTGGGACCCTTCAGTCTGCAGGCCTGAAGCACTATCCACTAAGCCAAACTGGCCAGGACTGCCCAGGACTTAAAAGTGTAATAGGTTTAAATCTCTCTGTGAATTCTTGAGGGCAGGATGATTAAGATAAACTGGCAACCTTGTTGAGAGAAAGACCTCTAAATATCGGGATGTATGAGATGTTGGTGTTTGTTCTGGAGTAGCCTCAGGAGTCTATCACTTGAACTTGGGACGAGGCCACAAGTACAATGTGGTGGCCATTTAAACAACAATGAAATTGTATCAAGAACATGTGACTCCCACAAACACAAAATAATGCTGAATGAGAAGGAGTCTTCCCACATGCCTTCAGATTCAATGGGTGTATAATCTGATGGAGGGAGAGTAAGTGGGAAATTTCATAATTTGCTCTTTCCTCAGCTGTCTTTCCCCTGTGCCTTTCCTGGCGTGAGCCTTTGTTAAGTGATTATATTGTTTAAAGCTTATGTGTGTGTGCATCATTTTTGTACACTGTTCTCTAAATGTAAACCAATTACTTGGTTGGCATTCAGTTGGGAAAAAAACCTGATCTGTATTGTGCTTTAGGGTCAATTTTAGTAACTTTTTTCAATATGTAATTTTTAGTCTTATGCACTGACTTTAAAACTTGAAATTTTCCTCGTTCCAATAAGATTCAACCCCATTGTACAGAGTTCATTGTGATGCCTTTTCATGTTTTGTCTAATTGTTATACTCAGTTATTCCATTTGCTCTGTGTTAATTATAAACAATTCCTAATGTCTTTACATAGAAACTCACTTTGATATACAGATAATATTCAGTTCACATGGAATTTATTAAGCATCTATATGTGCATCTTTGAAGAACTGGTATGGTTAAAAAAAAGAGTCAATAAAATTGGTGGGAGGATTCAGGTTCTAGACCCAGCTTTTTCAGTGTTTGGCCATTTTGCATTTTGGGATAATTCCCTTTTTTCTAGGCCTTAATTTCCTAGACATTTAAATGTTTATGATTCTTGATATATGACAAGGTCCTTGCTCAAATAATTTATAATTTAAAAAGCATTCAAAATTATGTAATTACATGCTAGAGTAAAAATAAGTCCCAAAACAAAAGTGCATGTTACAACAAGTCAGGAAGAGCCTGGCTGGTGTGGCTCAGGGGTTGAGCGTTGACCCAGAAACCAAGAGGTCATTGGTTCAATACAGAGGGCACATGCTGGAGTTTTTAGCTTGATTCTGATCAATGATGTTCCTCTCTCATCAGTAGTTTACAGTTTGAAAGGAGATAATATTTTACTTGTGTATTCCCACTCTTAAGTAGTAATGGAATACTTCCTGATTTTTGTTCACTTACTACGTTTCTATTGGGGTCTATTTTTAGAGAAGGAAAAAGAAACCCTGTTTTATGGCATTTAAACTGATACCCTAATATACAAAAGCTATGTGTGTGTGTGTTCATACATAGTAGAATGGAATGAAAATTAATGAATAAACTTTAGTTATTTTTAGACCCCCAAAATACTTAAGGTTATAACTAGAAAGGTAAAGAACAAAATCTGTCCTATCTCTATCTTCCTCTTTCTCTAAAATTCAATACAAACATATTTTTAAAAAATAAGTAAGTCAGGAAGAATTAGGGTGTGTAAAGTTCTGCTCAACAACCTATAGTTAAGAATATACAATATAAACACTGCCTATGACAATTTTATGTGCAGGCCTTAAATGAGGTTTTCTAGAACATCACATTTTTGGGCCTTTTTTCATATTTAATAGTTTACTTAACTTGGTCGTGGTAAGCCTCAAATTTTATTCTGTAATACAGTGGAGTCTCCAGGGCAACTGAAGTAGGTATGGTTAATATTACATCCTTGATATGACAAAATTATAGAATGGAGAACAGGTTAGTAGTTGCCAGGAGTTATGCAGGGAAGTGGCTGTGATTATAAAAGGATAGGAATGATCCTTGAAATGGAATTGTACCTTATCTTGATGTGGTGATCACATGAATCTAAACATGGTAACAAAATACACAAATGAGTGCATGTAAAACTGGTGAAACGGGCCCTAGCTGGTGTGGCTCAGTGGTTGAAGCGTGGGCTTATGCAACAGAAGGGTTAGACCAGGACGTGTGCTGGAGGCAATCAATGTGATGTTTTTCTTCCTTTCCCTTCCTTCCACTCTCCAAAAATCAATGGAAAAAAATACCCTCAGGTGAGGATTAACAACAACAAAAGAACTAGCGAAATGTATGGATGTCAATTTCCAGGATTTGCTATTTTACTATTATTAGACAAGGTGTTATAACACTGGAAGAAACTAGGTGGAAAGTACATGGGATTTCTGTATGTCACTCCACAGTGATCTCAAAACAGTTTTTTAAAACTTAATGCACAGGGTTTGAGGAGCACTCAGAAAGTGCTATGACAATTTTAAGTGCAGACCTTAAATGTGATATATTTTGGGTGCTCAATAACATTTTTTGCTTGATGGTTCCAAAAAGAGGAAATCTCAAAATAGCTGCGTTCTGGATGGATGAAGCACTCTTTGTGTTCTAACTCCCAAACTGAGGTTACCTGTCAATAAGGGCAGGTTCTGTCAGACCTCTTTGTATTCACAATCTATTGCTTAAGGCTTCATTTTTTTAAACTTAATAATTGGCCAGAAAACCCTTTTTGAGCGGGGCGGGGGTATGGAACCTCAAATGCGCAAAACCGAAGGTGCGATGGCTTGCTATAGCTGTATAAATTAGGTCTTTGGAGATAGGTAAAAGCCTTTAAAACAGTGACTGTCAATCCCTTTATGCATAAAAAAATTTATAATTTACTGGGTGTTCAGAAAAGATCATGAAAGGGACAGTAACCGAAAAAAAAAAAAAGACCAGAAATCACAAGTGCGACTCTGATGTCGAGCAACTCCAGCCTAAGTGCAGAGACAAAGATTCGGATCACTGCAGATGTTAAGAACTGAAATGGATCTTCACATAATATAGTGTTCCTTATTAGAAGAACTCAAGTTACTGACCCGAGTAATAGTTCGTTATTTTCCGTTTATTAGTGGATGAACTAGAAAAGGGTTTCCAGCTCCCAATCTTGCGCTCTTTCCCACTGGACCATCCAGCCCTGTGTAAACTGTGTGTCCCCGCTCTCCAAACGTCCTCCCCTTGGCTGTTTAAATTCCTGCAATAAGAAACAATTTCTAAATAGCGTTTGAATGACCACAGCGCTTAATTCAGGCATGTAAGGAAAACAATGAATACATGTTTCGAGTCCTTTTGCGGCCTAAACCATCCACGGGCGAGAGAAGAGAAAGTTGGGGCTGCCGGCAGCGCGCAGCCGCAGGACGGAGGCGGCGTGTCCTCTCTGAGCCGCCGTAGGTGCGAGGTGGCCGGAGCCCGGGTCGTCTTCCCACCCCTTTCCACGTCAGCCAA